TTTAGTACAAACATCGTAGAATTCAGTATTTGCATTCCCAGGTTTTGTCTGTAATAAAGCATGCTCATTTTGAGTCTTGCAGTTGCTGAACAGCACTTTTACCTACTATGTTAAGCCTTTCTCATTTCTTCTCTGCACGACCTCTTCCCCGTTAAGTCTTCCCAAATTCATCCATAAAGTATCTTGAAATTTTAAACTATATTTAGTACAAACATCGTAGAATTCAGTATTTGCATTCCCAGGTTTTGTCTGTAATAAAGCATGCTCATTTTGAGTCTTGCAGTTGCTGAACAGCACTTTTACCTACTATGTTAAACTTTCAGTTGCTAGAGGTTGCAGAAAGAAAAAGGAAATGAGAGCAGCATCCTTGCTCTCACTGTGCTTTTTCTGCTACCCATCATTGCTCCCAGTCAGCAAATAAGAGAGAGAAGCCTGTCTCAGCTGGGATCCTGAGGGACTGATAAACACAGAATAGAGGTGCAAGGAAGGTAACGTGGGAGGAGGAGATGCATCTGATAGCAGTGTTTGGTGCTGTTTGTAAAGGGATGTTTCAACAAAGCCCTGTCCTAATAGCCCTGTCAAGTCTGTGCCACTCCTCTTAACCCTCCCATATGCATTTGAGTTATCAGATTATTGCATACGTTGCTGCATCTGACTTTGCTCTTGATCAGTGCTGCAGTATCAATCTCTTTGTCATGTACAAAGGTTGGAGTAAAAATGCATTCATGCACGCACATACAAAATACTCTTGAAAATTCAAATTTGCTTAAGCCAATTATATAGTACAAGATAATATTTTCTGTATGATTGCTAAACCTATAGTAGCAATGTGGGGTGAATGTAAATCAAAAAGCAGCACTCTTGCTGCTAAAGGAAAGGGGAGAGCTGCTGGTCCTGATCAAGCACAGCTTCTTTTACTGGAGAAGACAGTGCTGGAGTAATTCTCAGTTCTCTCTGTTCCCTCTCCCATTCCTGTAGAAGCAACAACTATCCTTTATACCGTCTTTATGGATCCTGTACATATTTTTACCATATATAGAATATGTTAAATCTAAGGCTCTTTTTTGCTGTCTTTATGCCGTCACACTGCTTCTACCAGATCTCAAAGTTGCATTCCATCAGTGACTGGTAACTAACCATTCGCAATTTGAGCTTATATGCTTGACAGCCTCTGCTATCCTCCTGTGGTTGTATTTTCCCAAGTCCCCAGTACAGTATACGTATACTGAATTTCTTTTCTCTTTCTGTAGATCAATGTTAGTAATAAAAGAGTATTATATATCAGAATTTGTAGCCTCTCTCTCCATTATGTTATAATAATCTTTTGGGTAGGAGACTAGCATTACAATTTATGATCACTTTTGTTAGGCTTTGATGGCAGAATGTCCCTTTAATTCTTGTTTTTCTCCAAAAAATGTGGGGCAGTATTATACTGATTCATAACTTATTTGTGCCTGACTTTCAAGTAGTGATCTCTGATAAATTCTTGAGGCATAATAAACACTGAAAACTAGGAGGTAGATTAATGCCAAAATTTGTTTATAAAAATGATTTTATTTTAACTTAAGCAGTTTAGAAAGTTGTAAAATTTCATGGTAATGAAATGATACAAATTTTGTGCTGAAACACTTCTGCATATTTAAAACGGCAAAGTTATGAAAAACTATATAGAGGTAAAACATTCTGAGCTTTGGGATCTAACAAAGCTTAGAGGCATGAAAAATTTTCCGGGTAAGAAGTGTTTTCGTGTTTTAAAACATCAAAATATAGTACATGCAGAATGCAGATATCTCTGGAAATCAGTGAAATCACTTTCTGTCTCTGCAGAAAGTGCACAGAGATTTATCTGTATAGTTAAAAATACCCTCTGGGGAGAAATACATCATCACCTTCCTCAGGACAAATCTGTAATCTGTAGCAGTTACTTCCTGATAAGTGAGATTTAGCCAGCCATATCAACAGAGAGCCAGCTCTCAAGCTCTAAACTCATTCTTTGGGTTTTTCTGCTTCAGTAAGTAGTGTGGCACAATAGGAGCACATTTCTAGATTAAAACGTGTGGTGTTGAGGGCTGAATACCCACAGCGTGTATATTTTGGGGGTTTTAATTCAGATTGGTTGTAGTCTGATCCTTTGGGCTGAATGACTACCACCAGTTGGAGGACATTTGAGTTTCAGCCAAAAGAAAGTCTCTTTGGTTCTGAAGAGCTTTGCAGTATGAACAGAGCAGTAAGTGGGGATCACTGGGTGTTTCCCTACAAAAACTAATTGGACCCCTAACCCAAATACAAATCACAGAATCACAGAATGGTTGATTTTGTTGGAAGTGACCTCTGGAGGTCATCTGGTCCAACCCCCCTGCTCAAGCAGGGCCACCTAGAGCCAGTTGCCCAGGACTGTGTCCAGACAGCTTTTGAATATCTCTGAAGATGGAGACTCTACCAACTTGCTGGGTACCCTCACAGTGAAAAAGTGTTTCCTGATGTTCAGAGTGTTTCAGTTTGTGCCCGTTGCTTCTGGTCCTGTCACTGGACACCACTGAGAAGAGCCTGACTCCATCTTCTTTGCACCTTCCCTTCAGATATTTATTGTTGTGGTTTAACCCCAGCCAGCAACTAAACATGACACAGCTGCTTGCTCACTCCCCCCTGGTGGGAAGGGGGAGAGAATCAGGAGAGTAAAAGTGAGAAAACTCATCGGCTGAGATAAAGACAGTTTAATAGATAAAGCAAAAGCCACATGCACAAGCAAAGCAAAGCAAGGAATTCATTCACTACTTCCCATTCGGAGGCAGGTGTTCAGCCATCTCCAGGACAGCAGGGCTCCATCACGCGTAATGGGTACTTGGGAAGACAAATGCCATCACCCTGAACGTCCCCCCCTTCCTCCTTCTTCCCCCAGCTTTATATGCTGAGCATGACGTCATATGGTGTGGAATATCCCTCTGGTCAGTTGGGGTCAGCTGTCCTGGCTGTGTCCCCTCCCAACTTCTTGTGCATCCCCAGCCTACTCGCTGGTGGGGTGGTGTGAGAAGCAGAAAAGGCCTTGACTCTGTGTAAGCACTGCTCAGCAATAATGAAAACATCCCTGTGTTATCAACACTGTTTCCAGCACAAATCCAAAACATGGCCCCATACTAGCTACTGTGAAGAAAATTAACTCTACCCCAGCCAAAACCAGCGCATTTAAACATACTGATGAGATCCCCCCTGAGGCTTCTTCTCTGCAGGCTGAACAGTCCCAGCTTTCTCAGCCTTTCCTCGTAGGAGAGATGCTCCAGTCACATCGTGATTTTAGTGGCCCTTCATTGGACTCTCTCCACTAAGTCCATGGCTCTCTTGTACTGTGGAGTCCAGAACTCCAGGTGTGGCCTTGCCAGTGCTGAGTAGAGGGAAAGGATCACCTCCCTCCACCTTCTGGCAACACTCTTCCTAATGCAGCTAAAGATAACATTATCCTTCTTTGCCAAATGTAGATTAAAACACTGACTTCCCATTCACTTACTTTTGCCTTTCCTACTTGCATTCTCTGTTGTGGTACCTGCTTCTCATACATTTTCAGCATGGCATTGCTGCCTCCCTTCTGCTTGACATCACCAAGCTGACTGACAGACCTGCTCCAAGGGTTCTCCAGCAGCTGCAGTCAGATGCCCAGTCTATTCAGTCTGCATCAATCTTATGACCCCCATACAAATGGATTGTTGTCACAAGACCTCGTATTGCCATGTGTCAGTCACTTGAGCAGATGCGCTTTCCCATCATTTGGCTGTAAGCAAGAGAATTCTGTTAGGGTTTCCAGCAGCCTTGAGAGCTCTGCAAAAGCTGGATGGGTTTTATGGGTTTACGTAATCAGTAGGAACCTGTAATTTGTTTGGAAAGAGCGGCTGATAGCCTGTAAGTTGCCTATTTTAATTCTCCTAACCGGGATAACCAAAACCCTGGTGATAGTACTTTCAATAGTTTCATGATATAGGATTTCTTACTGTGTGAGGGGAGGGAGGGAAAGATTTGGTAGGACCAAAGGGGTGAAGAGAATTGTGACGGCTATATGCAGTGAAAACAAGCAAAATGATTAATAATTAACCTCAGCAATAAATTATTTTAAACTGAGTAAAGATTTTAGAAATATAACATATTATATAAATATTGCATTAATTAAAAGGTGGTCATTTCTAACAAATTTGCTTTGCTTGTATCAGTACAACACTGTGTGTTACTACTAGTTGTCTTTTTGCCACTGTCAAATGATTGTTACGTGCAAAAGTAGTTATGTGCCAAGTAAATCTGACACCACTTTGCAGAAAGGCAGAAATCTTTCTTCTTGTGCTTGATTGATTTATCACTGTTGCCAGAAAACCTAGTTTTAGATCAGATATGAGTCATGGTATGTTTAAGAATAATAGAGATTTTCAGTATTCCTTTGTAAAAGCTTTGAGTTTGAGAAACATTAATTTGAAATACGGCATTCATAATTTTATTAGGGCTTTTTTTAGTGTAAGTAGCTCATTTATATATACTCCTCACTGTTAATGAGGGATGGGTTTTAATGCTGTTTAAAAATAACTGTTCCTTTAATCAAAATGATATAGATTCGATATTCTAATTTGAGTGAATTTATATAAACTAAAATACAAGGCATTTAATTTGTTCTTTATTCTTAATGCATTGTATACTCAATTTTCTATTTTAACATATTTATAGCTGTTTAATGTGATACGTTTCTTCCAGATAGTTACTTCTGAAACTTGGTAACAGTGATGCTGAAAAGAGAGAGAAATAATACTACATAAAATACCAAATATTATATTGACATGTTGATGTGGAGTAGAGTAAATAAAAGAAAATGTCTCATTGTTCAGTAGCATTAAACTACTGGAAAATTAAAACAAAGTTTAGCAGTTTCTATATTTCCTCTCAAGTCCAAAGTATTTTCTGCACATTTTGTTGCAAGGATCTTGTCTAAAATATTTACTTCGTAAAACTTGTGTTTTCTTTTTTTTCAGAGCACGTTCAAATTTAAATCTGAGAGTGACATTCATCTGGCTGAGCACCATAAACAAGTGCTATATGATGGGAAACTTGCAAGTAGCATTGCTTTTACTTACAATGCGAAGGCTACTGATGCTCAGCTATGCCTTGAATCCTCACCAAAGGAAAATCCTTCCATTTTTGTACATTCCCCCCATGCTCTTATGCTTCAGGTTTGTGCTACTAAACTGATGTTCTGTGATGACTGTTAGCTCAACGTCATTTGGATAATAAGAGGATTTGTGTGCTAGTGTACAAAGAGATTGTTATTTTGTATTATTTCAGCTCTTAATATACCCATCACTTGAACTGTTCTTTCTTTGCTCACTTTCTAGAGAAAAAATGATTATTTCTTCATTAAGAAATTTATACTTCATACCATAAGGCACAGTTGGCCACGATACTGAAGTTTTCCTCTTTAATGTTTACATTTAAGTACAGTGATTATAATTGAAACATAAGTAATGAAACTAAGTTAAAACAAGTCTGATGTAGTTTGCACTCAATTCGGTGTTAAAATGTTCCCAAGTTATGTTTGTAACTGTCCTTTAAAATTGAGATTAACTGAGGTTTTTCCTTTTATTTATTTATTTTATTAATTTAGGATGTGAAAGCTATCGTAACCCACTCCATTCACAGCGCAATTCATTCCATTGGAGGGATTCAAGTTCTTTTTCCTCTCTTTGCCCAGTTAGACAATCGACAGCTGCACGACAGTCAGGTGGAAACAACAGTTTGGTAAGCTTCTTTCAAGCCAGATAAAAACTATATTAAGCTAAGAATATTTCCGTTTTTGTTGTGGGAGTGTTTGATTTGTTTTCTTTTGTAAATGCTGTGACTTATATTTTACCCTTGTTTCTTTGAAAATAATATTATTTTTTAACAAGTAGTTTACTGTAGAGACGTGTAAATCGTATTAATCTGATGAGATTCCAGATTGAACTGGCATAAAATTGATTGGATTAAATAATGAATTCAAATCACTCTAGAGTCTTTAAGGATAGTTTTGTGACAGTTTTTGCAACTTCTAAAAGAAACCAATGTGTTTTTACTTGACAGCACAGTGTTGTTTACCTTCTCAAAATCTGTGTCATTTGCATTCATATTTAATAACATTCAAAATTAATGAAAGATATCTCCTTCCGTATTAATACATGGTCAGAAAGTCACAGAGCTATGATCAGTTATTTTGTGGCCATATTACAATTGCAGCAGTGACTGGGGACACACCAAGAGAGTTTTAAACAGGGACACATGAAGTCTCTGCTCTGATACTATGGAAGTAACCCCTAGGTTGAAAAGCCTGCACAGAAGTTAGATGAATGCTTCCATGTGTAGCCTGCAAAGGACTGCTTAGGAGTCTGTCAGTACCCACGCTGACTTGTTCAAAGCTAGCTCAGCTGCAGGTATTTTTGCAAAGAAGATCTCTTGCCACCTGCTTGTCAGGGCAGGCTCCTATTCTAGTGGCAACACAACGTGTCCAAACTTGTCAGAGCAAAGCATGTGCCCTTTGTTACCTACCTTTGGAGGTAACAAAACTGAAAAGGTAATGCTGAAGAACCGGTACGGTGTTTCCCTGTGGGATGGTATCTAACCAAAACCTGCTAGAAAACAGTGTTTAGGGGCAGCATAAGCGGACTCTTGTATTTGAATAAATTTATAAAATAGGTGCATAATTGAGAGTACCTGGCTTATTCTCCTGCTTAGAATACTCTGCTATTAATTCTTCTGGATATTTCCTATTGCATTAGATAGTTCAGTAATAAATTAGTTAATGAAAAAATAATTGAATAATACTACAATTGCCCACAACTTTGAAAAATTTAACTGAAAGTGATACATTGGTATAATTTCTCATGAAAGATCACTTGTTTCAATCTAATTTAAGCAATTAATCAATTTGGTGAAGTTTTGTCAGTCATCTGTTTTCCCCTTTGGTAACTCAAATATATGTAGCTAAGATGGCCTCTGGTTTTTATTTGTTTCTGTAGTGTGAAAAGTTAATGTATTTCATGAGAATATTTTAGTACAATGTTAGAAGTAATACCACAGTCTTAAAAATAATGAATTCTACTTCCAAGCAGTATAGTGGTGCAAATTATTTCATTCAATGTTAAAGACAGAAAAGCTGGTTGTGTATTGGCTCATGTGGGATATTTACTTTTTTGTAGTCTGTTTTCCAGTATGTACTTTGCATTGAAGTATTGTGAAGTAAGGGGAATAGAAAAAACAATGCTTGGTTTGAAAGAAATTTGGAAAACAAATTCCCTGTATGTTTTTATTTACTGGCACAGCAGTAGGCAAAAATGCTTTATTCCAATATAAGGAAGATTATGTGTATATGTCCCCATACTTATGAATAAAATATATGTTAAATTCATTAATGAGCTGAGTCTGTAATAAATGATAAAGCAGTAACTAGGTCTGTTTAAAAATGGAGAGCTAATATAATGTAAGTTTTATAAATCGAGATATTCTTCCCAAGTGTGTGGTCTTTCCAGTGAGTGAGAACATTCATAAAGTTCAGTTTAACATATATAGAACATTTCTGGAGTTAGTTGAACTCCAAGTAGGAAAAAAAAGTTGTTCTTGAATAAATCAATGCATTTCTTCAATAATTAGATTATATTCTAAGAGATCTATAATTCATTATGCTATATGATTGTACAAATGCATAATACAACAAGATGTGATCCTAACTCAAGAGCATAGTCAAAAGTTTTTTAAGCAAATGGCTGCTTGATGAGATGTAATTTAAATGTTGAATTACCATGGTTTTGGTGTATGTGCATTATTTTCTTATATTTAATTTAATAGGATGTAGGTATTGAGAAAAATAGTAGTTTAAGTGAACAAGGAAGTAGGCAAATAAAGGAATAAAAGATTTCTGGGGACAAAGAAAGGACATAATGGGGAAAGGGGGCTAAACGTGAAACACAGGGCTACGTTTAAGTTTCATTTGTGGAGTGGAATAAGGGAGGAAGTATATTTACTGAGTCCTTTCCTTCTTTCCCCTTGTTTTTTAGACTATCCTCTCTTTATTTGTTCCTTTCCAAAATGCAGTTGTTGAACTGTATCTGATACTTCTTTATACCCTTCTTACCTATGAAAATGTATCTGTGACAGAGGGCTGCACCACTTCTTTCTGAAAAGGAGTAGGCATTCAGCCATTACAATCTATGTATTTTTATAAGCAGATAATCTTTATGCTGCTTTGCCAAAAAAAAAAGGTCCAGATGATGCTTGATGAGAGTAGACCATTATGTTTGTAAAGGCTTACTGTGGCTGTAGAATTTATTTCTTTCTGGTGGCCAACTGGGGGGACTCAGAGGTTGTCCCCTGAATAGCTGTGCTGCCTTTTGTCTTAATGTGTTCCTGGGAGGTGGGAAGTATAAATAGCTTGATACCCCGGTGTAAGTGTCCTAGGTTTCCAGACTACTTTTCTGACTCCTTCTCACCTCCTTCTCTCCTGCACGTATCAAAATCTGTTTAATAAGTTCAAGGTTCTCAATTATTTGTTTAATTATTTTTTGAACATTAGAAGGGGTTTGGTAACAGGACTATGAGGGAACACCCTGCTTTTTAATCGTCTTGATCCACTTGCAATTTCATCTTTTCTAAATAATAGATTCATTGTAAATAAAATTTTAAATTATAAAGCAGGGCAATATGAATATAGCAACTTTGTGATTTAATGGTATCCTTTGTAAATGTTTTTTATTCCTGTGATATGTATATCCCTGTGTGCCTTATCTACATCTTTCATGAGACCAAGTATTGAAACCTACAGTTCTGCTTTTGAAGCACTATATAGATTATTATGCTCTCATATACTGAAATTAAAAGAATGGAAACTGAGTTCATATCTTAAGTATGTTTTCATAGATTAAGTGATGCACCTGCTATTCAGGAGAGTGGTCCCTCAGCTTGAATGTCAAGACTGCTACTTTTCATCCTGCTTTTCAGTACTTTGGTTAAAATAGAAAATTTAGCAGTTTAGGTCAATAAGGTGTTTATATAATAAAAAGAAATATAGAGTGCTTTTTTCTGTTATGATACTGTTGTTGTTACCTTTGATTATACTATATGGGTAATATGATAGGAAGGACTTGCTTTGTTCACTTGAGGTCTCTTGTGTATGGTTTCGAATTCATTTGGGTCTGCTGAGCACTGACGTACAGACTGATTCTGACAAGGACCTGGGTGCGCAGTCTTTGGCACTGACCCAGTTCCATCACAGAATAAATAACAAGTGTTAATTCAGATGAGATTGTTGCTTTGGACTGTACCATATTGGGAAAATATTTGAAAGTAGAAGGAGCTGTAGCTGTTTGCTTAAATAGATGAAGTCATTCCAAGAATTCTTTTATATACTTATTCTAGACGTTACTAACTGGATTTACTAGATCGCATACACTATACATTAAAAATTAAAAATACTTTTACTGTTTATCATACTAAATAAATGCAGGGCCTGGGCCCACCTTAACTTTCTTAAACATGATATATAGACCCATGTAAAATATGTAGCAAAGTAAACGTAGGCATCTTTTCAGTCAGTTTTATTGCTGACATTCTTTTCACTCTTTAATATAGGTAGCCCTGTTATAGAGTATATTGCCCACCTATTGTGAGTAAGTCAGTGAAATGGAAACATTGGTGAGGAGGGCAACAATAATATTTCAACACCTGTTCTTCATCTTTTCCTGTAAATGTTTTGTGTGTTTTGCTTTGATCAATTAATATCTTGTACTCATCTCTTTTAGTATTTTTTTTATATTCAGAGGATGACTTTTTGGGTTCCTGTCCATAACTAGTAGTGTTGCTGCATCTACTTTTTGATAGATGAATAGTTTGATAGGAAATAGGCAGTTTTCCTATCAGTTTCCACAGATAGGAAATAGCACAGCTTGATAGGAAATACAATTTGATGTGTTGATTTTTTTATTAGCTTAATATGAAAAATCTGTGAGTTTCCAATAATTCTTAATAATGTCATTAGTTTAATTGAATTTATCTTTAAGATCATGGTAGCAAATAAGATGAATGCCAAGTAGTATCCTACCTACCTAACCTGTCCTCTCCTACTGTCTTTCAAGAACTGCCACAGCTGGCCCAGGTATTTAAACTTGAGAGTGGGTATGAAAATCATCCTTTCCGAGGTCGTTGCATTTACCTTTGTGCCTGTGATGGAGAGCCAAAGTCCCAGTCCACCGCTGCCTCCAGTCTACAATTTAGAGTTTGCAGAGTTGAGTGCTGATAACACTCTCCTCATGCGTTTCGAAGGGAAGAAGGCTGAATATCGCACCTGAAATTTCACATCTCTAGTATAATCTAGCTGTGCTCAGATGAAATCAGTTGTACTGGAATCTTCCCAAACTGTGTCAGCAGGAATGTGACTTGCCAAATCAGACTGCCTGGAGGATAGTTTATAATGAAAATACAGTCACTGTATCATGTGGTAGAAATCCTTTGTAAACTCCCAAACTGCGGTACCTTTGCATACCCCAGAAGATCCAGGAATTATTAAGGGTGGCTAATTTATGACTGGAGTCTGTATCCCAAAATGTTATGCCCGTAAGCAGAGGTGTGTAATGACTTGCCTCTCTAGTTCGCCCACGCACACCTGGCTTGTGTTTAGTGGCATCAGTTTGGATGACACACGTTTAGTAGTCTTCTCTTATTGTCCTCATCATATGTGATGAGAAAAAGAAGTGGAAAACGGAAAAGAAAGAAGT